CACGGCCGTCACGCACCTCACTCGATTTGGGTCTGACCATTCACCCCTCCTCATTAGGTGTCGATTTTCGAGCACCCTCGTCGCGCTTGCTTTAGGTTCCAGAACATGTGGGTTCGCCACCACTCTTTCCATGACACTGTCAAGGACTCCTGGCTTCAGCCGACTGGTCTCTTCGGGATGCGCAATCTCGAGGCAAAGCTCGGCAGACTGTGGCGTAGATTGAGACATTGGAACTGGGATGTTTTTCGAAAGCTCCATCAGCGCCTTTCTGCGGCTCAGAGTGCGCATGCAGAGGCTGAGCGGGCCTATGACCTGGATCCCACTCCAGAGAGTACGACTGCGATGCACCGTTGCCATGCCGAGTACCAGCTCCGACTCCTGATGGAGGAGGATTTCTGGAAGCAGAAAGCGGTCGTTCGCTGGGTGGCTGAGGGCGAGCGGAACACTAGGTTCTTCCAGGGCTTCGCTAGGCAGAAGCGTGTTAAGTCGTGCATCCATAGTATTGAGGCAGATGGATCATCCCTGACCCAGGAGTCTCAGATTCGGGAGTCGGCTGTTGCTCACTTCCAGACCCTCTTCACCTCTGATAGAGGGTCCCTTGTTGCCCCGACCGTCTCCTTCTTCCCTACCATCCCTCCTTCGGTCGACCTTGTTGGCCTCTGCGAGCTCCCGAGCAGGGAGGAGGTTAAGGATGCTGTTTTCGGGATTGATCCCAACAGCGTTTCTGGCCCCCGATGGTTTCTCTTCTCTCTTCTATCAGGTCTGTTGGGATATAGTCGAGCCTGACGTTGAGGAGGCAGTGTTGGATTTCTTCTCCGGTCACCGGATGCCGGATTCCTTCATGGCTACCTCTGTTGTCTTGATTCCCAAAAGACCGAATCCGAGCTCTTGGTCCGACTACAGGCCCATAAGCCTGTGTAACGTGACCAATACGCTTATTTCAAAAATTCTTAACGGTCGTCTTTCCCATATTCTCCCCTCCCTCATCTCTCTGAACCAGAGTGGCTTCATCAAGAATCGAGTCATTAGTGATAACATACTTTTGGCCCAGGAGATGATCCACGATATCTCTCATGCGGATTGGAAGAGGGCACCGAACATTGCGCTGAAGCTAGACATGGCTAAAGCGTATGATAGGGTGGAGTGGCCGTTTCTTAGGGAGGCACTGGCTAGGATGGGATTTCCAGAGCGGTGGATCAGTTTTGTTGAGGCGTGTGTGGAGCACTGCACGTTCTCGATCCTGGTTAATGGTAGCCCCACTGATTTTTTCCCCTCCTCTAGAGGCCTTAGACAAGAAGACCCCCTTTCTCCGTCCCTTTTTGTTCTTGCGGCGGACTACCTCTCTCGCTGCCTTGACGGCTTCATCCGCGACTATCCACAGATGACATACAGCACCCGTGGCTATGGTCCTCCCATCTCTCACCTATCTTATGCGGATGACATCATCATCTTCACCCGGGCAGATGATGATGGGCTGATCGAGCTTATGCACCTTCTGGAGCACTATAGATCGGTTACTGGCCAGCTGATCAGTGTGCAAAAGATCACCTTCACCCTCTCCTCCTCTAGCGCGGACAAGTGGGCTCAGCGGGTCTACGAGATCACTGGCTTTGCGGTGCGGCGACCTTCCCATTACCTATCTTGGTGCCCCTTTATATAAGGGCCACCTCACGAGAGCGCTCTTTGCGGACATCAGGCAGAAGATGATCGATAGGATTTTGGGTTGGTCGCATAGACATCTTTCCTTTGGTGGTCGGCTCGCGCTGATCAAGAGCACCCTTAGCTCCCTTCCGCTTCATTTACTTATGGTCCTCGACCCCCTAGGTCTACTCTTGACAAGATTGACCAGATTATGGCTCGTTATTTCTGGGGTTATGAGGACGGTTCTGGGAGGGGGAGACGTACCCACTGGGTGTTTTGGGACTCTATATGTCGGCCTTTTTCTGAGGGTGGCCTTGGCATACGCCGCCTCAGGGATATTGTTACTGCCTTCTCATACAAGTTGTGGTGGCGCTTCAGAGAAGTAAAGTCGTTTTGGGCCCAGTACCTTCGTGGCAAGTACTGCTCTAGACGTGCCAACCACCCTTGTTGGGTGACGGCGGTTAGTCATGATAGCAGACAGTGGCGGCACCTCACTAGGGTCGGTAGGCGCTCCCAGGATCACATCTTTTGGGTTTTGGGTGAGGGTGATGTTAGTTTTTAGGATGAGTGGTGGTTAGGTGATAGGCCGTTGTCTAGTAATAGACAGGTGTCGCATTCCCCCTACCTTCTTGTGAGCGACCTGTGGTCGGATGGGTCGTGGGATAAGGGGAAGCTTGATAGAGAGCTGGGCTCCGGGGCGGGTTTTAGCGAGCAGTTATTACATCAGATCCAGCAGATACCCATCTCGGGGACGATTCAGATGGCATGAGGTGGAGACTTACATCATCGGGTGTGTTTTCTACTACCTCGGCTTGGGAGCAGATCAGGCTGAGAGATCGGCCTAATCTCCTCTTCGGAGCCATCTGGAGCGGTCTTTTCACCCCTACTATTTCGGTTTTCCTTTGGCGCCTCCTCTTGCGCCGGATACCTGTGGACACTGTTTTACATGCGAGGGAGATCTCCTTCCCCTTTCGGTGTATGTTGTTCTGAGACCGGACGTCATGAGACCGAGACCTTTACCCACCTTTTTCTAGAGGGTGAGATTGTGAAGAGAGAGTGTGGGAGCACTTTGCCACTTGGACTCATATATCCCTACCCACCACAGACAGTTTCTTTGAGCTCCTGAGTTTTTTCTCACAGAGCACACACTTTAGACACGTGGGCTTCCTCATTCCTTGTCTGATCCTTTGGTTCACCGGGACGGAAAGGAATAGTGCGAAGTATAGGGATATTACTTTTTTGCTTTCTCACATTGTTTTGCAGGTACAGAGACATCTTTCACTTCTCACATCATTGGGCAGGCTCACTGCCAGAGACTGGACAGGCTGCACGCCACCGCACCGCTACATAGTAGCTCCCCCTGCGCCTGTTCGGCCTCCTCGGCCCAGAGCTGTCGTTTGGCTTCATCCAGATTCCCCTTGGGTCAAGCTGAACACTGATGGCTCTTTCGATCGCCAGACCGAAGTTGCCGGAGGAGGAGGTTTGATCCGGGACCACAGCGGCGCCCTTATCACCGCCTTCCACACGTCCCTTCAGGCCTCCTCGAGCTACGATGCAGAGATTCAGGCACTACAGATTGGCCTTCAGCTTGCCGCCCACCTCTCTAGCCATATTTGGATCGAGCTGATTGCTGCGGCGGTTGTCACCATCCTGACCTCGGGCCAGCATGGCTCGTGGCAGATTCAGCACCCGCTTATGCGCATTAGAGCTCTCATGCGGTCGGTCCATCACAGGATTACACACATCTTCCGTGAGGGGAACAGACCCGCTGAATACCTTGCCAGCCTTGGCGCCACCACACCGGACCTACACACGTTTCAGACCGACACCACTCTCCACTCCGTCTTCGCACGTTGGTACGGATGGACCAGCTTGGATACCCATCTTTCCGATTTTAGTAGATTAGATTTTGCTCTCATCATATCATATATTTATTCCGGGCACCTGTTAGCCCGATGCCAGACCTTGTATTATTTTCTATTTCTTTTTTTGGTTTCGTTATCTTTTTGTTTTCTTTTTTACTGTGAGACTATGTTGACTGTAGCTGTGTGATCTGTTAAACACTTGTTGGGTTTTTTTTGTTGGCTGATTTATTTTGATGTGTTTCTGAAAAAAAATTATTTGATGTCTTTTGATCTGGAATTTATTGTTGGAAGTGTTTGGTATTAAACTTCTTTGATGCCTTTTAAGTTATTCTTTTGACATCTTTTGATATCTTTTGGTCTTTTTGTTAGAAATGTTTGTTGCAAGTACAAATAAATAACCTAGCATTTACATATATCTAACCTAGCAGCATCATAGAACTAACCTAACAACAACAGACTACTAACCTTGCAGAGTTATATAACTAACCTAGCACCAATATACAGCTAAAATTGCAACGTGATGAACTAACCTTGCAGTGATATATAACTAACCTAGCACTAACAGAGAACTAACCTAGCAACATTAGACAACTAACCTAGCAACAACATACAACTATCATTGCAACTATCACACAACTAAAGTAGCAGCATTAGACATTTAACCTAGCAACAACTGAAAACTAACCTAGCAACAACAAAAAACTAACTTAGCAACACCACGCAACTAACATCACAGCATTAGACAACTAACCTAGCAACAACTGACAACTAACCTAGCAACTAAATACAAATAACGTAGCAACTAACATAACTAACCTAGCAACAACATACAACTGACCCAACAACTAGACATGACTAACCTAGCAACATCGGACAACTAACCTAGCAACCAGACACAAATAACCTAGCAACTACATAACTAACATAGCAAGACATAATAACTGACCTAGCAAAAAACAGACAACTACAGAATAGTAACATTGCAACTTTAGACAACTAACCTTGCAAAGGCATAAAATAAACATTGCATCAAAAATCATATTCATCCATCAAAACATAAATCTTAACTAAAAAAAAAAGTTGATTACATACTAATAATAATTAAGAAAAGGACAAGAAAATGTTCATTCATTAACAGACCATACTAATTTGTTCACACATCAACATCAAATACTAAGTCATTGCAATTTAATTTCCTGAAGTTGAGAATGCATCCTTCAACTATGTCAGCATCCCTTATGAAAGGTTTCAATCCGGTGAATATGTGTTTGTTCCCTTCTTTTTTCACCTGGACTGTCCACTCTTTGCCCCCATGATGAATAATAGCAGACTGAGCGCTATTAAATGTCCTCATCAGCGCTTGATTCCAGAACGTTGATGGAATCGTCTGTTGATAAAGAATAAAAAATATGTGTAATAATAAACACCAACATTTTTTTTGCAATTCATACACATGATAATTTTTGTTTGAAAATTAAAAAAAAAATAGTTTACCTGTCTTCCTCGGGTGACAAGGGTTAAAGAAGTCTGTATACTGAAACAACCATCAAACATTTCATCATCATCAACACTCCTTTCATCGTCAGAAATGCAAGATCCAATCACAGTTCTAGTTGCTTTCCTGCAACAACCAATGTTAAAATGATAGACCATAAATGTGTTTGGACCTTGCAGTTCGAAACACATTTGCTCATTTTCCTCCAGATGATGATCTCTTGCAAATTCCTCCCATCCATCTGCGAAACCAATTTTGGATCCAAAACGCTTAACCACAACTGGCCATTTGAACGCGTCATCACATTCGTTGTTCTGAAGGGTACATTCTAGTGGAAGAAAATCTTCAATGACCCACTTAATTCCAGGTGGCAGATACTAGAAAACATGAATGTTCGTAATTGTCAAGTGATGAAGTACAAACAATTTTGAAAACATGAACAAGCAAGTGATCATAATCAAAATAGTTGTTTACCAGTCTGTTGTTCTCGGGGGTCATCATAAATTTCATGAATCAGTCGAAATCCAACAATTTAGGTTTGCATCCATCCATTGCTAGCACATTATTCCCCCGCATTACCAAATTCTTTTGACACAAACTATTGTCAAAGTGAAAGAATTCAAAATTGTTAACCTTGTCTAACTTCAAAACCAAATAATCACCACAGTTTATGAGGTTATCAAGAACGAATTGATCTCATCCATCAGTGAAACATATTCGTTCACCCAAGAATTACACCGTCAAGTCCCAGCAGCGCCCACAATCAAGAATGTCACTATGGACTCTACAAGTAATGGGGAGTAGCACCCCGTCAAAATACGGATCATTGACAGGGGAAAGCACCTATTAATACAAACATAATTAAAATGCTTAATGATACTGATAATTGACAGACAATTGGGCTCATATTAGGGTTCATTTGGGTATAAGAATGCTTACCAGGTAATGTTCATTTGGTTGAAGAATAACTTTGATAAATGTCGGCATCTCTGAAATTTGGATGGCCATTTTCTGATTGCGGGGTTACTTTCCGATTAATGTAAAATTTACAGTAAAGGCTAAGAATACCGTAGTTCTTGAGATGTGGTAGTAACTAGGGTTAATTTCAGCTCTTCTTTTATCGGCGACCAACACAACCTTTATACTAACTAAACCGATAATTAAATGCACGTGATACCTAATTTATTTTCAACTAAATAGAACTAACCTAGTAGCATAAGACAACTAACATAGCAACATCAGACAACTAACCTAGCAACAAGAAAGAAGTAACCTAACAGCAACAGACAACTAACCTAGCAACTAGACATAACTAACCTAGCGAAAAAAAAAAACAAGTAACCTAGCAGCATGAAATAACTAACATAGCAACAATAAACAACTAAACTAGCAACAAGATATAACCAACCTAGCAGCACTAGTAGCAAGAAATAACTAACATAGCAACAAAAGACAACTAATCTAGCAACAAAAGACAACTAAATTAGCAACAAGATATAACTAACCTAGCAAAAAGAAAGAACTAACTTAGCAACAAAAGACACGAGATATCTAGCAAAATGCTCTCCCTTCTCTCTAGGTTTCTCTCTCTACCGTCCATTTCTTTCTCATTGCCGACCACCGCCTAGACATGTCGACAACCGCCTTACCGGCGTCGACCCCGGCGTTGCCGGTTCAGCAGCCACACACCGAACCTCACTCGACCAACTCAAACCATCAATCGTCCATATCAAACCTACCTGATATCAGCCAGGCATTCGCATATCCAGAATTCAACACAAAAAATTTCAGATCCATTGAAGAAGAAGCTAAAGGTTTGCCTGTTCACGCGTTATTTCCGGAATCGATAGAAGCTTATGGACTTGTGGGTGTTTTTTCAAGCAACAAATCGCAAGAAACCCCAGGTTTTCATGCTCTGACATTTCAACACCCGAACAACTCCACAGCTGAATTAAGGTCAGAGGTTCGAATCGGGAGGCTACCGGTCTCTCTTCGACAAGAATCTCTGTTATCGCCGGTGAAATCGGTCAATCAGTTGTTGCAACTACACAATGGCGGCGTCCACACTAGCCATTTGCTCCATGGTCAAGTGGAAGAAGTGTCGGCTCCCCCTCAGCTCACAGATCACGCAAACGGGCCGGATCCCTCCAGGTTAGTGTCGACCATTGATGATATTGGGCCTCCTCACAGCCCAACAACATCATTTTTAAAACAGCCCAACTCTCAAGTCCTTGGGCCCTCCCACACAAATCATCATTTTGGGCCACCATTTCCTATTAGCCCGCCTATCTCTTTTCAACCCTCACAGGCTGCCAATTTTGGGCCAGCACCTATCACCTTTCAACCCACATCCACTCAACTTCAACCTGCAACCCTCCAGCCCACCTTCTCAGCCCATTCTGCAGCCACTCCCGACAAGATGCCACATTCCGACTTTCCGGCAACCAACGGGACCTCTATCCCGGCTAGCCCCGTCCAGCAGAACACCACACCAATTCATCCAAAAGAGCAACTTGCCGGAAGTTCCATCCTAACTTCCGGAGATCTTGACCCGGCCGTCTTATATGTTTGTGAGGATGGCGTGGTGAATACAGGCCCGAAGCCCTTGCCAACGGACCCCGCCACGTCCAACCCCGCTACTACCGGACCAACACTGGCCACATCCAAGATGGACTGTTCTCTCCAGGGACTTCCTCCTCCTCTAACCGATGACATGGAGCTGAACGTTTTAAATGTATGAGAGGATGGGGTAGTCGTTACAAGGCCAAGCTCAGCGGCTGCGGCTCAACCCACCGGACATTCCCCAACCGGGCCACAACCGAAAGACGCCTCCACGGCCAATCTCACAACAACCGGGCCAACTACAGAACCACCCACTGGCCAACCTTCATTCCGGGATGTTGTTTCGGGGAAGAAAGTTGGTAGTCCGAATGCCACGCGGTCGAAAAATGGAGACTCGAGCTCCCCGAACCCAACACCGAAAGATTTCCCATTCGACGGGAATTACGAACATGCTTGCGGCACCATCATCCGCTCGGAGGGGAACAAAGTGAAGGCCCGCTTCTCCGACGCTGAATCCGGCGACCTGTCAGGTAAACTAGATAACACCCTGGTATTTAAGTTCTCATATGTTATCCCCGCCCCTCGAGATATATCTGCTGGATTAAGTAAATTGGGTTTTAAGGGTAGTGTATCATCGAAGTAGTTCAACTTTAACCACCTTCTAGTGACCTTCCACCTCATTGAGGATTATAATGAGGTCTGGCTTAAGACCTTGATTCATCTGTGTGGATGCCCAGCTAGGGTATTCAAATATTATGTCGGGTTTAACCCAAAGACGGAGGCGCCGATTGTCCCTGTTTGGTGCCGTCTTCCAGGCCTCCCACCCCACCTCTACGACCGTGCTGCCATCACTACACTTGCTAAGTGTATTGGGCAGCCGATTCGTATTGACGCCCACACGGCCCTTCAGACGAGGGTTAGCGTGGCGCGATTTTGTGTCGAGATAGCTCTCAGAACGGAGCTCGTTCATGAGATCGAGATTGAACAGCGCTCCGAGTCCTTTGCTCAGCGGGTGATCTACGAGAAGATCCCCGCTTTCTGTACTGCGTGCAGACATGTTGGTCATATTGCGGCCGACTGCTATATTAGTGGCAATAAGCCACGTCTCTCTCTGCCTCAGCGCCGTCGTACGGCTCAGCCGGGACCCTCCGACAGTCGGAGGGAACCGAAGGGAAAGGGCCAAGGCCCTCTCCAGGCACCCGGGTCCCCAAAGGGGGCCACAGATAAGGGCAAGGCG